TTATCACTGTTCAATGTTATTCATGCTTAAAGTTCACGGTGATGTCTTATGTCACTAGTGCTCCAATCCATGGTGAAGTAGTCGAAGTTGTTTATCCCAAGTCTACACAAAAATGTAACGTTTGTCAAGTCCTTGACACTAGTAGCTGCAATTACGTTGCCATTGTCTTCTTTTCTCACTAATATTGTGCCGTTTTTCACCCACACATATTTAATGTTTTTTAGCCTGGCTTGTATCCTCAGTTCTTTTAGTACATTCTTATTTTCTAATGTCAAGGCTTCATTGAAATATAGGCGATCCACGTTTAATTTTTGCTCCCTGTTCATATTATTCAACCACTGAATACCTTTCTTCCTACAAACATTCCTTTGATTTTCTTCCTTAAACTTTACAACTAAATTTTATTACTCTTCATTGGTATTATTTCTGCTTGCATCGCTTCACATTCCTCATCGGCACCTATTTTTTTAAGCAATTTCTTCATACTCTTCCATGGGAGAGGCGTTGTCGGCTGTTTGTAGTCCATGAATTTCCACATATTTTCTTTTCTTGTATTGCTCTATTTTGTTTAGTTTTGTTGAAAGATTGGCTATTTCCGTGCCTTATTTTGGCATGTTTCCCTTCAGAATGTTCACTTCTTGTTTCAGAAGTTTGCTTTCTTTGGTATTCTCATCTAGCTTTTGGCCATCTCGTCGAATTTCTTCGACATATGCTGGACAGACTTGATCAATTCTTGCATTAGTTTCTTCATACTCGGTGACAAATCGTGGTCCAAGTTTAAGAGGTCATTTTCTAGATTCCTCTCTTCATTTCTAGGATGAGAATTATCAATACGTGAGCGTCGTTGTACGAATACGACCCAATTTTTATACACCGCCATTTTGACTTTGCATCACGAGATTTCGTCTTATGGGTCTATTCCGATATTGAGCACGACCCGAAATGATACATATTTTGGCATCCCATACATTTTACATTTTATTTCTTCTTCACATAGGTTGCACATATTCATGATTGTGATGATAGAAAAAACGAGCTATGGTTTCACAAAAACACTAAACAACTCTCGATAATCTGAGCGACGGGAGGTACACGAGAACACGTCCACACGGTATAAGTGCCAGAACAGTAATGAATAATGAATGAATGAATGAATAATAATAATAATAATAATAATAATAATAATAATAATAATAATAATAATAATAACAATTATTTTAATAATATAACATTATTTTGCTTTTTTTAAATGAGGGAAACTGGGAAGTCTAATTAATACTCGGGAGGTTGCGCACTCCTGAGTAGTGTAAGGCTTTCGCCCACAAATAACAAGGACCCCTCTTTACTTTCCCGTATACGTACGTAAGGCTGCGGAAAATTGATTTCTAGATCTCAACTGAAATATACGTTTTGGGGTCCCCTGATACCTAAAGCATGGTTCTTTTCAAAACGTCCATCTCTCTATGAACACTTAACCATGCCTAGGATTTTTTCCAAATAGAAGAAACCCCTGTTCATCTGGCTCAAAACGAAGCTATGAGATTTTGATAAAAAAATCTTTGAAATTTGAGGGTACATGAATCCCTCCGGACATTTTCAAAATTTTCTCAAAAGCGACTCCACGCGACTATTGTATTTGTGAGTTAAAATGCTTCAAATGACTTTGATTGAAGTTTTTCAAAAACTCAAAAATTTCCTGTGAAAAAAAACTTGAAAGTTCGAATTTACATTGGCGCTTAAACGCTAGTTTCTAAAAATGGCTCCAAATTTTTCAAAGACAATTGCCATTTAGGACGAAGTTTTACTGTTCTTTAATATTCTTAAAATAATATTTCCGTTCTACTATTAGGAAATCGAAAAATTAAGAATTAAAAACAAAAGTTCTTTGGGCAGCGATAGATGGCAGCTGGCAGGAATATGTTGAAGTCCGAATAGCTAGCCGAGATCAAAGGAAATAAGAAACTAACGGGAAAGTCTGTGCCATTCTGAGGCACCACTAGTTACTTTCTCCCTGAGGAGTAGGGAGAAGGTTATGTAAAAGCGCGAAGAAACAACATTTTGGGCAGAAAAACTCTTATTATAGGGCCGGCCCTGGTATCGAAAAAGTGGATAAACACAGTTGCTAAATTTAGAAAACAAGTCCTCTAACATGTACTGTATCCAGAATCCATGTTTTGTGGATCCATGATTCGGAAAAATCGAACGACTGCAAAATGTTTGTCCGCCTATGAACAACGCGAGCGGCTAAACCGTTCTGCCGATTTTCTGCAAAATTGACATTCCCCAATCACTCTGGCTGATGTTGCGGCCCCCTTGAATTAGAAATCAAATTTCAATTTTGGGGGGTACTTTACATGAAGCTCCTGGGACATTTTCGAAAGTTTCAAAAAAAGGGCTCCATAGTTTTTGATTAAATTTTGTTGGATAGTGTGAAGGATGTGTAAGAGAATGGTACAGGTCTCTTGCTCATTAATTGCCCATTAATGAAATATGTTCCTTAAAGATAGATTTTGAAATAAGGTCATGTACAATTTTTCGAAAATTTAAATACTTTTTGGGTAATTTTTTTGAGAAAGTATGGGGGAGAAAGAGCATGCTGTTTTAGCACAACTAGTTCCTTAGACGGAGGAAACATTCCGTGATTGCTTTCGCATTACTTTGAAATGGCGTCTGTTGGGTTGCTCTTAGCGGCTTATTTCATATAGCCTCTTTTACCCAATAAAGATATTATTGGCCTGGGATTTCTTCTAATTTCTTGATGTGGAGTATCATTTCTACATAGGTAGATATCGCTCCCCAACTTCCTTACTGGTAAGTATCATCTGAAAGATTTTATCAGAGGTAATAGCTCCAATCCGACCTTTTGACAGCTGTACATCTCTCGCAGACAAAGAATGTTTGCTCAGCGTCATCTGATTGTATGTGGCAGTACACTTAATTCCTCACTTTCTACTTTCTTCATCCGGTGGATATATAGAATGGTTTATTTAGCATTCTCGGCTATTTGAAACATACATTTACATACGTTGTTTACATCTGTAGGTACACTCTATATAACTATTTACAAAATTAGTTTTCTACTTTTATGTATTTTATAATTTTTCTTTTAAATTCTTTAATTTGTTCACAATTTTTTTATTTCTAACAGTAATTTATTATATAATTCAAATCCTTTGTCAACTAATCTGTTTTTTGCCTGTACAGTTTTACTGAAATTAATTACTAAATATTGAGTTTCCCTTGTGGTTTCACTCTTTGGATTTTGTTTACCAAATCTCCTGTTGTATGATTTTTAATTAATTTAAAAATAAAATTAGTGTCTGTAATGAATTCTCTCTTTTATTGACATTAATTTCAGTGTCTAAAATATCTAGCACTAGTGTATCTATTGTATTGAATTATTACTCTCATGGCTCTGTTTTGTACTCTCATGTCTCTATCTTGGACTAGGTATTGAAGATATAGGTTTTTTTCTTCAAATGAAATTTGTTCACCACAATCAGTTCTTTTATTAATGTCATGTAGTACTTATATTTTGAAAATATTAGTTTTCACGCTCTTTTGAGTGAAATCAATTTGAGATATTTTTTTAAAAACCTTTTGTTAGGATAGCACCAAATGCATTTGTGAGTACAAGTGATTCAAATGATATCTTGTGAAGTTTCTCAAATTAGGAAACTAACTAGTATTGGAAAGTCTATACCCTTCTGTAGCACCACTAGTTAGTATGGTTTCTCAACATGGAGGGGGCAACTGCATACCGTAATCCTCTCACTCCTGAATCCTGCCAGAACCGCCCAGATGTGACCATTGCTCTAAGTATTGCATTTGCTCAACAGAATCCCTACATGTGCATATGATGTTAGTGAGCTTCATGTCTAGTTTTCCTTGATCCATTGAATGAATGAGAGATTGCATTGCTTCTTGACAGAAAATATACCTTCACCACCTGTGTATATTTTCTGGAATTCTCATATTGCTCAATACGATAGGATTGGGAGCAATTAGTTATTGTTTCTGAAAAATTTTAAAGTCAAATCTGTTGCTCAGTTGTCAATGCAAATATTTTATGATACAAAAGAGTTGATATTTTTTCTTATCAAATGTTAAATGCCAATTCCTACCATTAGTAATTCAGCTACTTATAGTAAAAAGAAAGGGTATGAATTCAAGAAAATATGTGTAGATTGGACAAAAGTTCACATACAATGTATTGCCTTTTTGTATGCTTATTTTGTAAATGATAAATTACTCAAATGAAAGCCTTTATGAATTAAATACACTATCTTGAAGAGGATCCCAATGAAAAAGAAAAAATACTGTTACAGGTGTGTCTATTATGGCATTCTTTGCAGTCCTGAGTTTACGGAATGAGATGATCAATACTGCATCTCCATCACAACTATAAATGATTCATCATTTATAGTTCACTTCAATCAGAACTGATGTTTAACAAGAGGATAAGATTGTTGTTTGGTAAAACTGCTAAAGCATGCATTCAGCATTTTATAACCTAATTGTGTTTTCGTGTAAATTTTATAGTTTTCTTTTTTATATGTAAGATGTTGCGTTCTAATGGGATGAGGAAGAAGAGATTCCCTCTGAGAAATGGGTGTCCACCTTTTCATTATTTCATGATATTGTAAAATAACTTCTGTAACATACACAAACTGAACTTTAGAAGTGTACAATAAGTTAGGTTTTGTAATTAATTACAGTGAAATCTTTTTATCACATTTTGCTGCTCAAATCCCAGACCCAATTGTTTGAAATTACTCTTACATGTTTTTCAATCCTGTTTTGCACATGAAAAGATTGTCAATAACATGTTCTGTAGGACAAGTTTTTCCAGTACAACAGTACAGTCTTCAATCTGTGTTCTTTGCAGAGTAGTTTGGGTACCTCAGAGGTTTTAGAGAATATTTAGGTATTAGGTACATCTTAAGGAACTAAACTAAAATCGGTACTATAATTAAATAATTCAGATTATATTACTATAGGTAATATAATTAAATAATTCAGGGTATTTTTGCCCTATTTGATTATGAACCCAGAGCCTGATATGTTCTAGTAAGACTGTTATCAAAAGCCTCTGCTACCTTTGTTCTGTGTTACGTCATGATAGTAAATGTTTATTGTAATTTCATAGACGTAGGCTACTATTTTTTCTCTTAATTTACATTATTTTTAATTTTGATGTATTATTTGATTGTCATTTCATTCTTATCCTATTATTTGTAATTTAATAAGTGTATTATGTGTGTTTTACATGAAAATTAGTTTCTATTCCCTCTCCTGATGTTCTGCAGAAGGAAATATGGAAAAGAAAAACAAAACATTTTTCAATAACAAGTTTTCCGGTGATGTTCAGAATTTTCAGTCCCTGAAAAAATTACATTCTGTCCCTTAACCAGATTCCATTGTATATAAGGGAATGTACTCAATAGTTTTAACAATAACAGGCAAGCTAACTAAAAAAAGACTTATCTTTAATCATAGTGTTCCAAATGAAATTCTCACTTAACAAAAATTGTATTTTTGTTCAGAATTTTTTAAAATTTTATTTTATTTTTGTTACTTTTCAAATAACAATTATATACAAATCATATGAGAATAACCCATTTTTGTATTATTTGCAACATTTTACACTAAGAGTCTAATCTAATGCCATGGGCCAATATAAATGTTTGCTTCATTGCTTAATTCCATTATGGAATCAGCAAACATCAACTATCTCTTTGTAAGAGGAAACAAATGATACAAGTCATTATTGACAAATCTGAGCTAGACATATATCTGTTATTTGTATCTGGTGAGTAAAATGGTCTGTATACACATGGAGCATGAGAAAGAACAAATGAAAACAAGAAAGAAAGAAGAAGAAGAAGAAAAAAAAAAAGAGAGGTGAAGTTACAGGTGAAGATTTACTTCCATAAGTAGGTCTATGTATGTAACCATTTATTTTTGTGGTAAAATTTTTTGTAATGTGTACTAATATACTCAATTGTAAAATGCTCTCTGTTTGTGTATGCAATAATCAAAATATAATAAAAAATAGTTTTATATCTACAGGTAGAATTTTGAAAAGAGCATTTTTGTAACAACTTGTTATATTCATAAATGGCGATTTTCAATAAACATTAATTTTAGATAAATGTTGATCCTTATTTGGTTATTTTTAATTACAACTGATCTTTAAAGTCCATAAAACGTATGAAAAAACATTGCTAATAGCACTGAACTATAACTAGTTCTAAGGTAACAACTCTCCTGCAACAGTTTTGCAGGTCCCTAGGCACTTAACATCTTTAATGACAGGCAGCCTCATTGTTGGGAGCTTGGCTGTTGCATGAAGTCAGCTGTATCGTAAGCAGTGACAGTATATGAATTCAGTTGAGGTGCACAATGTGAATAGGCACAAAAACAAAATCAAATCTTTTTTTCAGTCAAAATCAAAACTAATTGT